AGGTAGGTAGTACTCACCAAGTAAAGTAGTGTAGTAGTATTTACTAGAATTTTGTTTATTATTTGTTTAAAAATGAATGTGAGTGAGATACAGGCCCTTAAAGTTTTCTTAATCGGAGGAAATTCCGGTAGGTACGGCCCTGGCTTCAGCCTTCCGTCAGCTGTTCCCGCCAAACATCGTTTGTCCTAAAACATATCTTCCTAACATTATTCTAATGTATCAGCCCGCCTTCGGCGGGCAGGGGCATTAAACAAACTCGAGTCTGTCATACATCTACCTAACTAAACAATGACGTCATCAATGCATATTTGGCGAGAACAGCTGACGAAGGGCTGCAGCCAGGGCCGTACCAATCGAAATTTCTTCCGATTAAATAACTTTAGGAGCCTGTATCTCAAGCTCCATTGGTTTCCGCACGGAATTAATGCTACCACACGATTCTACTTAGTGAGTACTACCTACCTGACTAAACTTCATGTCTCAATTCCAATGTCAACTAATGTAAAAAATGACCCCTTTCTTCATAAGTCTGAACTGCTGGCAAAAATGCTCTTAGGTTGTAAAGAATTTGCTGATTAGGCAAATTGTTTAAAATGTTGAAACAAAAGGAATATTGCTTAGTATAGTCTAAAATAAATGAAAAACTAATGTAACTTAGGAATGTATAAATATACACTATACTCACAGAATGCTCATCCAAAAACTTGTACTTTTTCGATAGGGTTGTAATTATCTCTAATTAATGTTTTTTCCTTTTATGACTTTATGAGGGTGGCATTCAATGCGTTAGACTTTGGCATACCAGTTTGTCTATTCCCAGTATAAATATCACTTTCACACGTCCTTCTAGTAATATCCTCTTGGAAAGAGGACTACTACAATATTCACATATAAACAATTTAGTACCATAACAATATAGTGTAATAACAAAATTGCAAAAAGTAAGGAATAACGATAGCTACACCAGTTTCTGTTCCAACTGAACTAGTGAACAAATCGACAACTTAAAAACGTAAATTAAATTGTAAAACCTAGTTTTTTTAGATTAACATTTGTATTGTAGAAGAAGTTAATACCCACAAATATTAATAAATAAATTAAATTACTTTTATGACTTTCTGATGGTGGCACTCAATACCTTAGACTTCAGCCAGGTTCTGTTCCCAGGGGAGAAATCACTTTCACGATTTAGGCTTCTTTCTTCTATAGACGCTACGTTCTTAATTATGATTTTGGAGGAAGGAAAATACTAAAACAAGACTCATGTATAGATAATTTAAAAAAGGAATGCTGAAGATTACACATGTTGCAAACAATAATTTAAATAATCAAACTGCTACAAATGGTGATCATATTAATAACAAATGATAATAAATGTCAGTTGCCATCATAGGATGCATATAGGATGTCATATAACAAATAACCGTCATTTAACATTTATACCATAGATAAATTTATATAAAAGAAGTGTCTCCTTTGCTGCTTGACCGTGTTTTTAAATGTTTTAAATAAGTGTCCAACCAATGTAAGGATGTTTCACACAAGACGATTAAATTTAGGAGCAATAACATAATCCGAACCGAAAAAATCTAAAAAGCAAATGAAGGATACGAATGCGCAGTACCCTATTGCGCAGCGCAAAAGTGAATATCTATATTTATTCATTCAATTTTAATCTTGCCAATAACCAACGAGAGTTCTATAAAGTATTTAAAAACACTGTGGGAGCAATCCCTTTATCAAGATATGTATATCTTTCCGTTGCAACATTTATTTGATATTGTCACCCATAAGTTATAAATAAAAGAAGGGATTGTTAGACGTGCTATAAACATTCTAAGAGTTTATTAGCAATATATGAATATGCATTGCCTTTTACCAGATTTACTTAAAATTAGTTTACATTTTTAGTGTAAAAAATTAGTTTTATATTACTTAGCTTTTAGAACTGCAATATTTGATTGTATAATTAATTTTATAATCTAATTATTATTGTACTTTTAATTAGGTGTTTATCTTGTAATTGTCATAAAAATGGTAACTTACAAGAACAGTATGTAATCTTTTAAATAATAATGAACTCAATATAAATATACTTTACATAGTTTTACTATTGATTGAAGGCTTCGATTGCTTAGTAAAAGGCATTAACTAATATTTAATCTTTTACAAATACATACAGAAGAACGTAGAATTTACATTTATAGATAACAGGTGAGGATTACAAATTATACTAATTAAAAAAAAGTTCACTAAGCCTTTTATTGTTCATTTGTAATTATGTTTTAAAAAAATTAACTCATATTTATATATTATTATGTGTATCTGAAATCGTTTTCTTTTCATCTTACGATTAGCATGCTACTTGTATATTTGATATTCATTTTTTTTGCAAACAATACGTTTCACTATTATTTATAGTTTGCGTCTTACATTTTCTACGTCTCAGACTTACCTAAAACTGCATTTCTCAGGACTTTGAATATCTGAAATAAAAACTACGTCAAAGGATTTGATAAGAAAGTAAGTATGAGCAAGTAAGGTAACACTTACAATCAAATACTTTAATTTATTATTCACGATTTATCAGAATGTCCAGTAGAGAAAATCTGACTGTGAAGCAACAAAAAAAAAACAAAAATTACATTGCTCCACGTTACACAATTGAATTAATTACTTCAGACATTACATACGGAATGAAACAAATTAACACTGTCACTCGAATAAACCCTAAAATGTCAAGTACTTAATAAATCTACCTTCGTTCGTTAGCGTTTTCATTTTTCTGCCCCATTGTTTTACTCCGATTTGTCGCTCGAATTGAGTCGCTTCATCGATTTAAGTGCTTTTTCACGTAATTTTTTTTCATCCTCGTTCAATACCTCCAAATCGCTGTTGTCTGAACTCTCCGACTCTGCCTTCCGTTTCTTATGTTTCTTATGCTTTTTCGAATGTTTTTTTCTCTTTTTGTGTTTCTTTTCTTTCTTGCGCTTTTTCGATGATTCAACTTCTTCATCAGTGTCACTACCTGATTTTACTGATTTCTTTTTGTGCTTCTTTTTCTTCGGTTCTTCTTCTGATTCTGAAGTTGTTTCTTTCTTGTGTTGCTTCTTTGAAGATTTGATCTTCTCCATCTTCTCGTCCGAGTCAGGTTCAGAACTGTCATCGTGCTTACGACTTTTCCTGTCAACTTTTACTTCCTCTTCGCTATCACTCGAATTTTCCCTACGGCTTTTTCTGGGCTTTTCTACATCTGTGCTGGCTGATCGGGCCTTTCTCTTCTTCCTTTTTTTGTTGTCTTCTGAGTCAGTGCTTGGTTGTCGTCGTTTTCTTACCTTTTCTTCGCTGCTATTTCTTTTCGATTTCTTTCTTTTCTCCTCATTTTCTTTTTTAGAACGTGATGACACTTCAACTTCACTTTCGCTTGAGCTGGAGTCTCTCTGTTTTTTTGTTTTCTTCTTTATTTTGGACTTCTTACGAACTTCTACTTCTTTCTCATCTGAATCTGAACTGCTTGAATCTGATTCTGTTTCACTCTTTTTCTTAACAGTCCTCCGTTTGATCTCTTGTTTAGAATCTAACTTTTCTTTAATTTCTTTTCGTTTATCTTCTTTCACGGAACTTGGCTTTTTTGGAGGGAACTCATGAGCCTTAATAAATGGCGAAGGCGTACGTGATAAACTCCTGGAATATCTTGGCGGCCCATATGGAGGAATTAGATGTTTTTCTCTACTTACACTCCTCGAAGCAGATTTCTTCTCTTTGTTCTTAGTAACTTCGTTGACGATGCGGGTTTCTGATTCGCTTCTAAGTTTTTCTTTCTCTTCGGGAGGTTTTTTCTCACTTTTACGTGGTGATGGTTCTGCTTTTCGAGTTTCTTCAATTTTGCCTTTTTTTGGCTCTTCTTTCTTTGGCAGCTCTAATGACTTTTTAGAACTGGAGTGCTTGTCTTTCGACTCTTCTCTTCGTGGTTCTTTGAAAGTCGCATCGCGAATAGGACTAGCTTGTTGTTTAGTTGGTTTATCTCGGGATCGCCGACGTTCTGATGACATACGACGAACGCTGTTTCTATCTTTAGAACGGTTCTTAGATCTAGATCTACGGTCTCTTGACCGTGAACGACGCCTATCCCGAGATGGGGACGGTCGATGGTAGTTTCGGTCCCGACTGCGTGAGCGTCTCATTCTTCTGGTAATACGGGAAAAGAAAAAGATAATTATAGGTAGAAACAGCAGTAAAGCTTATTTTTAATGATTATTTTTTTTTACTCTGGTTTTCACTTACAACACAAGTTAAACAAGTTGCTAAAACATTTACCTTTCAATACTTCTTCTTCGACTGATGCTCCTTCTCCTTCTATTTATACTTCCCCGACTTCTGCTTCGTCTCATTCGATCCCCTATCCCTCTTCGAGTGAAGCTTCTCCTACTGGGACTACGCCTTCTACTAGAACTCCGCCTTCTGGCGTAACTTCCCCGACGACGACTTTCTGATCTACTTCTTGGATTTCGTCTTCTGTTTAAGCTGTTCATACCTCTGGGCGGACTAGGTCTACGTCTACTTATACTTCTAGATGGACTACGCCTAAAATATACAATAGTATATTAAAAAAAATCCAAACTTTTTGATCTGTATTTCTTTATTTTTACTTAAAACGTTTTAAGATCTATTTTCTGAAAACATACCTTCTAGAGGGACTTCGTCGGCGACTGACGCTTCGCCTACGTGATCGGCTCCTTCTAGGAGGGCTGCTTCTGCGTTTAGTACTTCTATCTCGGCTGTTCTTCCTGTCTCGTTTTGGAGATCGTGAAACTGATTTACGCTTGCTTTTCGATGATTTATCATGTTCTGCTTCGCTTTCACTACTATCCTTATTTGACCGATAATGACGTTTCTTTTGCACGCTATTTTCCTTTTTATGTATTTCGAAATCGCTCTTCGACGCATCCGAACTTGATCTCGATCGCGACTTTTTGGTCATTACCTTTTTTTTAACACTTGCATCATCACCATCTTCGTCTTTGTCCCGCTTATTATTACTACATGTCTTTGTAGGGTGCGCGGACCCAGAACGCGAACGTCGCTCTCTTGAGGACGAAGATTTGGCTGACGGACTTGACGAGCGTGATCTTGACTTTTTAGCGTCCTTTGATGCAGATCGATCACGAACAGGAGAGTTGGATCGATTACGTGATTTTGAACGGGACCGGGAGGAACGGCCACGAGAGCGAGATCGCGAACTTGAGTACTTACGGGTGCTATTGCCCGCCATCGACATCAACTTGGCTTGAAGCTTTGATACAGGATGTGGAGGCTCCGTACTTTAGAACAATGAAGATTATACTTAGTAAATAATATTTTACAGTGGTAAAAGTTTGACTTACTTGTTTTCTGATTTGGAAGAAATTCCGTTCTTCTCTTTGTCCTTGATTTTGGTAGTTCTTTCGGTTGGGCTACTGCTTCCATTCCTTTCTCTCTCTTCTGTTTCAGCCCTTACCTTTGATTCCTTGGAATTGGAACGACTTCTTGATTTTAGTTCTTTGTGTTTCTCGTTCGTTTTTGAACTCCTGTCTCCTTCTTTACCTTGCGATGTTTTTTCTACAGATTTCCGTCTTTGCCTCGACTGTGATCTGGACCTTGATCGTCGTGATCTAGAACGGTCCCGTTCTTTGTCTCTATCTCTCTCTTTGTCTCGGTCGCGATCTTTGTATTTACGTTCTTTTTCGGATTTCTCTCGTTCACGATCCTTTTCTCGTTCACGAGTCAGTTCACGCTCTTTTTCTTCTTTTTCCTATTACAAAAGTTTTCTCTTATAAACTCTTTAATATCTATACGTTTTTAAATAATAATTATATTAAACATGTATATATTCAAAACCCCAGGTTATAAAACTAACCAAAACCAAATATTTTGTACAATCTTAAACGAAACATAATAAAAGAAAACTTCTGTTTCTTTGCACACTTTTTGTTTTATTTAGATAGTAATATTATTTCTTTAATCAGTACTAAACATAGTCTTGGTCTGACAATACAGTATTTATTGAAACTTGCATAATCCAGTCCAGACTGCTAATGGTTGGTGTTCGTTAGCGTTTTCATTTTTCTGCCCCATTGTTTTACTCCGATTTGTCGCTCGAATTGAGTCGCTTCATCGATTTAAGTGCTTTTTCACGTAATTTTNCAAAATTGCAAAAAGTAAGGAATAACGATAGCTACACCAGTTTCTGTTCCAACTGAACTAGTGAACAAATCGACAACTTAAAAACGTAAATTAAATTGTAAAACCTAGTTTTTTTAGATTAACATTTGTATTGTAGAAGAAGTTAATACCCACAAATATTAATAAATAAATTAAATTACTTTTATGACTTTCTGATGGTGGCACTCAATACCTTAGACTTCAGCCAGGTTCTGTTCCCAGGGGAGAAATCACTTTCACGATTTAGGCTTCTTTCTTCTATAGACGCTACGTTCTTAATTATGATTTTGGAGGAAGGAAAATACTAAAACAAGACTCATGTATAGATAATTTAAAAAAGGAATGCTGAAGATTACACATGTTGCAAACAATAATTTAAATACATTGTAACATGTTAAATGTATACTTAAATTTTTTTACCTTTTCATCCAATTGATTATACACAAAATCAACTACTACATCATCGTCAATTTTTAAGATTTCAGTAATCTTGTCTTGTATCCAGGGCTTAATAACATCAAGTTTTATTTTGGACATATCAACCTAAACAATACGTCAATTATGAAAACAGCAATAGCAATAAGGCAATCACGGTTGTAAAATTTTACTTTACTAATACTAACCCTTTGGCTAAGACAATCACTGAACTTCATTTGCTTCAGCAACTTTTTCTCCTTATCGCTGAAGCGATTGTCTTGTTCTGTATTAGTACCCTGGAATTAAAGCGTGAAAATTGATAACTCAAATAAACGGGCGTTCATGACAGAAATAGTAGAAATTTCTACAATGTGCAACATTTGGTGTTTTAATATACTTACTGTATACATCATCATTAGTCCAACATTAACAGGTAACAAAAATTGGTATAAAAGATTGCAACACTTCAAACAAACCAAATTAATAATTGAAACTACCGGTGTAACGTTTGTTCTTATTTACAACTCATGTGTATACGGGAACTACTCTTCACCACCATTATTATTAACAAAATTGTAACGAACCATGATCACTGCAGGTTATACTTAATTTGGTTAAACAACAGAAGCTCATTAGATGAAAGAACAGGTATGTTTTATTGAAATTAATGACATGTAAGAACCCCAGAAAGTATCCATGCTAGGATTCACAAAATGGCCGTAGCGTCAATTCGTCGATAAATGAGGGAAACTGCATTACCAATAATGAGGCATTAAACTTTTAATAAAAAAGAGAGGCAAATTTGAATATGTTTAAATACATGCGGCGTCAGTTAATTTTTGATATTAGAAACAAATATAACAGAAAAGCAAATATTGTACGCCTTAATATTATTCAATTTTTTCGTATGTTCTGAAATCCCTTTCAATGTATTACCTTTTTTCAATTTATAGTAATGTTTCTTTTTAGTACTGCGGTGTATAAAGGGTTGCCTATTATAATTTTCATTTCTTTAATTGTAATTTTTAAATTTCAGTGAACCTCTAAATTTGTTTTTTTTTAATTCTGTTTTAAAAGTGAGAATCAGATACTTATTTTTTAAACTGATTTTAATTTTTATTCTTCTTTTTAAAATTAAGTTTGTCTACCATCAAATATTTATTTTGCTAAATCTTTTTTACCTTTTTTTAATCCTTTAAAATAAGACATTTCACAAAACTTAACAAGTCAACTAAAAACTAATTTTAAAAAATTATAAAAAAATAACTGTACATATAGCTAACAATCTAGTCAATATATCGAGTGTCGAATTTTATAAACAAAATGATGATTGTCCCCTCCTATAAATTAAGACGGGTACACCTGCTGTTCTATAATTCTCTTTTCAGGTAACCAGCAGTGTTATTTCCGTCTTTCAAGTTCAAGAACGAGGTTGTAAGGTGCTCTTGTGGCATACTTATGTATAAGCTATCCCTATAAACAGTTCAGTTATCGCAAAAATATTATTATTGGTACTCTCGGCAGTGGTGTTGGAAAAGAGGGTGTAATTTGTGTAATTAGAAAAATAAGGTTTTTTTTTAAAATGCGGTGACTTTAGTGTTTGTTGTTTTTTGAGAACCGATTTACTAATTTTTGCCATAAAATGGAAAGAAGATGGATATTCAAAAACATTTTAAGTGTGAGTATAAGTTTTTTCTTTCTTATTAATACATTAATTTTATTGTCAAAAAAATATCCCTCTATAATTGTATGAATTAAACGAGTGTAAAAATAATGCACAACTTTCAATTTCATTATAAACTATCCTAACAAAGAAATTCTGCTGAATACAAGAAAAATTATTACTTTTTTAGATCTTGTATGTTGAGTTTAGAGATAAAAGACCTTTAACTGTTACTCATACTTTTTTCGTATAATACAGTGGTATTTTACTAGTTGTGGATTTTGGGGCCAATCAATTTAAACCATATTTAGTCTCAACTAATAATAACGCGTTAGACAATAATGATGTTTTGATTGCTGGTAATGTATTGAAGGCAGTGAAATGAGATTCGAAATATCTGCTTATAGCGTTGTAACGTTTAAACGCAAAGTACAGTTAATTCTAAGGGGTCAACGATCACGATATCCAGAAGCACCCGCCGGCCAGGTGTAGGCATTGTATCATACCAAGAAATGTACGGAGTCGGTTGCTGTACTCATCCACCTTGTAACCCAACCAGTTGTAACACATTTCATTTTTGCACTGACCGCTATTTTTTTTTTTTTAAACTTAGGTATTTTCTTTTACAGTTATATTTATCTGCAGTTTATTCTAATTAAAACTCTGATATTTTGTACAAAAAAATATTTTCATGGTTTTCCAGATGGTGCATTTTACTTTCTTTTTCCACGATATCTAAGCTTTATGTTTGTGTTTTTCTTAATAACGCAACATTTTATTATACGCCACACTAACTAGAATTTATTTGTCTTCCTTTCGTGGAATTTTGTGGTAATTCTTGATTAATTTGGCTAAGCTATTAATACAATAAATTTTGATCTACAAAATCACTTGAATAAAAATGTTATATTCGCCGCATTTGATACGCTAAAAAATTTATTTTGAATGAATTATAAGAAGTTGAATTGGCTTAATTCCTAGTTGTATTATGCAACATTTTTATTGCAAAAACCTACTTTTAAAATTAAACAAAGAATTTGCAGATAACAATTTTGTTAGTCGATAACTTAAAAATATGAGATTTAAATAAATTTTTATTTAGAGAAAGTAAATAAATGACAACTTGACCGTATGTTAGGGGACACCCTGTACATATTTTTTGAATTTAGTACAACAGTTATTTGAAAGCTTTTCTAGAATTCACATTTAATTATAAAGTAATTAATTAGTTTAACTTCATATTGATAAAAGATGTGGGTACATCCGAAGATTTGTAGATTATTAAAACCACAATTATAACAACCGTTACGGTTGGGTTTATTTACGGTATTTAATTGCCAAACCAAGCATAACCACGATAATGAAGTTACAATACAGTTAACCATGGGTATAGCCAGATTCTTTTCTCTACAGTCATCGTTCTCGCATACAAGACGGTCAGAAAGAATCGCTCTACAATTTCCGTCGCCTCTCTGTTACTTTTTCATTATATGTATATCCTCGTTCGTTATGGAAATTCTATCAAGTTTAATTTAATAAAGCACGTAACGGAAATAGCCGTTAGGTACTAGCATTAGCTGACGAAGAGACGCTTTTTGAAATATAAACTAGTAACCTCATTTCCATATATTATACCTTCCTACCTATGCAATTAGAAGTGGGTGAAGTGCAGTCGGGGAAACGGTAATCGGTTACCATTATTTTCTTTGGTACTGTTTGCACTTTTCCGATTTCTACTCCTTATTTGTCCAGCAGGTACTAACAGCGTTAGAGAACGAAAGCAAAAATGAAACTTCAATAACTGGGACATTACAAACTTTATAGGACGCTGTCTTTATTTATTAACGAAAAAGTAATATTACCTGCACAAACGTATCACGCCCAAGAAAAAAATAAATTAACGGCACCCGCATATTAGTATAGATAACCCAATTATAATTTTTTGTGTACTTAGATCATAAAATTTATTAAACGCATATATATGATTTTTAAAGTGAGATAAGGAATGGACTAACCATTTAATAAATTAATTATCCTGTAACTACACTTTGTTTTTGAAACATTTGGAAGAGAATAATTAAATATATGAATATTTCTTTTGTGAAGTAATGAAGTTTTGAAAGATTTTCTTAAAGAGACTATATTTTTCTTTTATTTGCAGATAACGATATTTTATACAGTTATTTCGCTTTCAAAACAAAAAGCAAGTCAAAAATGTGAAGGTGGAGCGGGTCTAAAGTATTTATGGGGAGACGCCTTAATAGACACGCCGGGGTGTTTAGGTCCCCACGATACGCCATATCCCGAGTAAGAAACATATCAAAATTATTATTTACAAAATGAAAATTTAATATGTTTTTCAGTGCCACAATTACACGTATGTTTAAGAACCAGAATATATGGAATGGCAGTTCTAGGACTGCGAGATTTAAAAGAACAATAGATCCTATGTTAACTCGAAAAGCGCTGCTAGCAGCTCATCAGATAAACACGGGGGAGACACTGTCAACGTTATCAAGAACTGGTAAGCTATTTTGATAATTTTCCATTTTCATTAAGAGATGGATTTTAAATCAGTAAGAAAATAAAAAAGGGCTACACTTTTAGCGCGGTCTACCCAATCAACTACTTGTTCATCCACGCCCTCGAGATTATGTAAAACGAGATATAACACCACAGCCCCTATGTACGGAGTATCTTTAACATCTGGACAACCAGTTACTATAGTACAAAAGTTTCCCGATTTGTTACAACAAGTTGTTTTTGAGGTATGTAGAAATATTGTAATCATTAAGTTATTTTTATATAACTGTATTTTTTAAAGGTTTGTGAAAGTTCAGAATGCGACGTGGTTAGAGGGGAATGTACCCAAACATACGTTCCGTACTTATTTTTAGTGATACCCTTAGGACCAGTCACCCTTACTGGGCAGGATTATGTCCTCGTTGAAAGTGGATGTGTATGCAGGCCCAAATACGCATCACAATTAACAAATCAAGAAGCAAGTGCCGTAGCTTCCATACCGAGATTATAATAAGACTAGTTTGTGTGTACATTTAAATGAAAAATTAATTTATTTTATTTATTTACGTGTTGTGCTCCACGGGCATGTGTTTATAGAAATAACTTTTAAGAATTTAGCGAACATTTTGCGACTTTTTTGGTACTGAAATTATAATTGTTAAAGATTTTTAAAAAAATTATATAAAATCAATTTTACCAAAAGAATCGTAACCCTCTTTTTAAAATAAACTATAATAAAGGAAGAATTCAGTTTTAATGGCCTGTGCAATATTTTAAACAAAACAGAAGGCACTTCTTAAAAAAAATTAAATTTTGTTATATCATTACCTTCCCTTTAGTCTTGTAAATTGTGTTTTTATTTATATTAATAACAACCCTTTACTAGAACAAGGAAAGGAAGAATTTATATGTATTCCTATATTAATCATTTAATGATAAACCAGATTTTGCATGTGGAGATATTCAACTAATGTATTTTATCTAAAATCAGTTGGAATCGAACTCAGATAGGTAGTGTGACAGATGAGCATTATTCTTTGCCTGTGTTAACGGGGACATACACAAACTATTTTTGTTTTGTGCACTTCCACGATTGATTATCATTCAAATGATGAAGTTTCATTCTCCCCTTTTTAAAATAAATACAAAAAACCTACCACACTTCCGCGTTCAGTTACTTAATTTAACAGGAAATTACGAAAATAATATGATCAAATCAAATTATTAAACCTTTCGCAATTAAGGAACTGGATGGAACAGGTATATTATTGTAATTTTAGTATCATTAAAATTTGGACTCGGCATAAATTGTTTGTTTCAAGTCAAAAAAAAAGTTATATTTGTGTATTCATGTTAAAATACACGCTAAGCAACATGAGAATGTAATAATTCACATTTAACATATATAAACAAGTAAATAATAGCTTAATAGGCTATATGTAATTAAATTGTCATTCGGTCACCATTTCATTATTTTAAAAACGAAGTCGCTGATAATCTTACACTCTTAGCATTATTAATTAACCTACAATAAATTTTAAACTCAATTTCTAACCTTAAGTATTGAATGTTTTCTTATGTAATATGAATGGTCAAATGAAGAGAAGGCTTATTCAAACTTGATAGAATTTACAGAAGTGTCAATACGTCCACCACGATATGAGCCACGTTTCTTCTTGGTTTTTTCATGCCTAAATGACTTTCCGCGAGTCTTTTTCAAATCTAAATTCGCTCTCTCCCCCCACGATCCTCTTGAATTTTGCTGAAACACAAAATAAACACCAATATAAATTTTCAGCCCATAAAAAAGCAACCAAATATACACTAAGCACGTTAAATCCTAATATTTTAATTATGTATTATGTTGTATTAAAATTAAAATAAATACTACAATTTTATCATTACTCAAAAAAATTAAGAGTTTTTAGTTTTTCTTCTGGATTGAAAATACATATTATATAGTTTTATTTCACCATAAATAATAATAAAATCTTCCATTTGGATGAATTTTTACACTAAAAATTTCTATGATCTTTTTACTGAATGAAACAAAAATTGTATAAAATATATTAGAACAAACAAAGCTTAACACAATGGAACCTTGCTGTAAGAGCTTCATATTACCTATTTGCTACAGGACCCAAGTAAATAATTATTTACAATCAGCAAAGCAACAAGATGTTAAACGTTTTCTATTCCTTTACTGCTTACCTAATTGTCTTGACAAATTATTCATTGTCAAATGTAATCTTCTTGTTTTGTGGCGTCGAATCATTTGCATTAAAACTATCTCTCTTGTTAAATCCACCCTCTCGACCTCCACCGCGACCGAAACCGCCCCCTCGACCCCCTCCTCGTCCGCGGCCACCTCTACCGCCTCTGAAACCACCACCTCCCCCACGTCCTCTGCCCCCACTAAATCGTCTACCGCCATCGTCGCCTTCACCCCCGGCACCTTCCGGTTTTCCGGCATTACAACGGAAGCAATCCACGCGAAATGAATAGTTGGATGCTCCGCATGCACAACTCCATTCGCCACCACGACCACCACCCCCACCTCCTCCTCCAGCTTTGGGAGTATTACATTTATAACAATTTCTACGACTAGCAAAGTTTGATCCTCCACATTCGTCGTTTGTACAAGTCCAATCACCGGCAAAGGAACGGTCAAAACCGCCTCGTCCTCGGCCACCGCCTCTTTCGAAACTATTTCTGTTCTTTTGCCCAAAATTATTACTGTCGCGCTGTTTTTTAATTTCAAAATTTAAGTAGGTGTAAGTTCGTAAATCGCAGTATGACAACGTAACAAGAGAGACATTTTAATTAAACCAGGATGAAACATGGAAAAAAAAAAATAAAAAACAAATTAGTGCAACAGACAAGCATTTCTATCTTTTCTATAAATAACATTAAATTAAAGGCAAAGGTAACGTGCGAACTGTCCTGCTGTTCTTTTGAATTCGTAATGACCAATAGTAAAAAAGAAAAGATGCCATTTACATGTCTGTTGCACTTTTTTGTTTTTTTTTTACCAAGTTCGCACATTACCTTAGCTTCAAATGAATTATTGTATAAACGTGGATCGATTTCAACCTCTTCCTCTCGAACACGACGATAAGGAACATTAGCCTGAAAGATGGCCAGTTTTTGAATTTAGAATGTGATGTAAAATTTAAAAAACATTTAAAAAACAAAATAGATTTTTCATAAATATTTGTAAAATTGATTACTATTATGAAAACTAAATCAGTTCATTAAATGGCGCTATAAAGTATGCAAAAGCTTTAATACTTTAAACTGTTAAATACAAGATAGAAAACATACCTTATTATCTTTTCCACCAAAACTATTGTTTCGATTGTTGCTTTCACCAGCTTTAACAAAATTGCCATAATTTTGCTTTTTGGCTTGAGGTGCATCACCATTTTCAAGTTGCCTCTTTTTGCTTGGCTTCTCTGCAGGGCTTTCTTCTTCATCACTGTCTTCTGAAGATTCTTCTTTAGCATTCTGGAAATATTACTGAAGTATAAATTAAAAAAACATTCAAAATCATAATACCTTTGTTTTTGTCACAGTTTTCGTTTTTGTAGTGGACAAATCATTTTTCTTTTCATCTGAATCAGATTCCTCAGAACTACTTTCTTCTTTCTTTGATGCAGCTGGTTTAACAGCAGGAGCTTGTTTTTTCACAGGTGGTTGCTGTTCTTCTTCTGAACTATCTTCTTCAGAGCTACTTTCATCTGCTTTCCTTTTCAGTTGTGGTGTTGCAACCTTTTTGGCAGGAGTTACAATTGCAGCCTTTTTGGGTGGCTTTTCTTCTTCATCAGAATCTGATTCTTCTGAACTACTTTCATCTTTTTTTGGAGCAGGTTTGGCCACAGGTTTTGCTGGCTGTTGCTTTGTTACTTTAGTAGGAACTTTTGCATCTTCTTCTGAAGACGACTCTTCAGAACTACTTTCTTTTGTTTTCTATTAGACATTTAAAATAGAATGGTGAAATACATTTTAAAAATGGTTCAACATTTAATTTGTAATTTATGAAAGACTGTTTTAAAACTAGAAGTTTAAGAAAAGTACATTGCTATAACATAACCTTACCTTTGCTGCTGGGGTGGATTTGGCTAATGGAGTTGTTTTAATTGTAGCGGGTGTTTTTACTGCACTTTTTGCTTTGTTACTTTGTTCTTCTTCAGAAGATGATTCTTCACTACTACTTTCATCCTTTTTTTGTTGCAGGACTTTTGTAGTTGGTTTTGAAGCAGATTTAGTAGGCACCGCTTTTGTTTTTTGAACTGGTTCGTCTTCAGAAGAATCATCTGAAGAGTCTTCACTATCATCTTTCTTTTTCTGAATTGGTTTAGCAAGTGTAGCTTTCACTTGATTTGGTTTTACAGCATTCTTTACCGGTTGGGTCTCTTCATCAGACGAAGAATCTTCACTACTGCTTTTATTTTTAGTAATATTCTTCACTGCAGGTTTTGTTCCTGGTTTAGCAGCAGTTTTTGCTGCAACTTTAGGAAGGCTTTTTATAGTAGTTTCTTCCTCATCTGAGGAATCTTCACTACTACTTTCTTCTTTTTTCTGCTGAGGTTTTGGTGGAGCTTTTACTTGGGGTTTAGCCTGTGCTTTTGAGATAGGTTTAACAGCAACCGTCTTTGATATTTCCTCTTCAGATGAAGATTCTTCAGAACTACTCTCTTCTTTACCATTTTCTGTCGGTTTTCCCTTAACTATTCCGTTTGCTAGTCCTTTTGACTGAGGTTTTGGAGCCTCATCTTCACTACTGCTTTCTTCAGAATCACCATCACTCAGTTTAATTTTCTTAACATTCACTGGGGACTTTGTATATTCATTTATAATGTCATGTAACGAGATAGAACCTTTCGCTAATGGTTTCTGCAAATAATGAGTTAACATTAAAAGACAATTAACATCATTACTGCAAAATGGAAAACAAAAGTTCAATTCACCACGTGGTAATCAGCGCCGCATGATACTATTAAATTTGTTACATGCTTAACGAAAACACAGAAACATCAAAATTACAATACATTATACTTACAGCATTTGTCTTATTTTTGAAAACTTGTGCTAAATTTTTGTCCTTTTTTTCTAGAAAATCGAAAATTAGAGAAGACAGCAACGTAGTCGCGTTCGACGCCATGATTTAAAAAGAAAGAAATTGGTAAATGTTAGATGCACGGCATAAGTGCAATTATTTGTTGTAGTTGTTATCGTTGCAACAGCACTTTCGAATAATTTTAAAAAGCATCTATTAAAAGAAGTACAGAAATATGCGAGCATAAATATGTGCCTAAATAAATTATATTTCATTTTTTGAATGTTTAAATATTAATAAAATAATTAAAATTGAATTAAGTGTTACACACTCTAGACACAATGAAAATAAATCATAGATAAGGCTTAAAAGTAACAATTACTATCATAGATAATAGATTACTATATTACTAAATTCATGCATGTTATAGTTCCCCCACCTCTCTGAAATGTAAATTTTCTTTGAAAGCATTTTAAAGGTTATGCTAATAAAATAAAATTAGTTTGAAAAATACAAAAAATTAGATAAAGCAGCAAATACTGCTTACTTTACCAAAATATTTCTTTTGAATTTGTATGAGATGAGAAAGTCACCAACAAGAAATGCATTACTTAATAGACTTCATAAAGGAGTTGTGGTTATATGTGTTGCAGTTACATTATATGGAACAGGTTACTTAGCGATGCGAGGCTACAGATATTTAACAGTAATTCGACCAGAAATAAAGAAAAAGCAATTAGCTGAAAATCAACTTCTCTTAGCAGAAGGTTCTCATGAAAACTTGAAGGATAATGCTTCAGTTATTAGTACATAGACTTAAGTGTAAACAGCTGTCAAGTGTAGATTTAATAAATAAATAATATTATTAAAATTAATAAAAATTTTATTATTATAACATTAGAATCATGAGTTATAAGTAATGTAAAAAAGTAGCAATCGATACGTAAAAAATTAAGGTCATTTAAGTCATAAATTAAAGATGGCGTACGTCAAGAAACGTTTCAGTTCTCCTAAGGAGAAACTAATTTGTAAAGTGTAAAAGGTATTGAATACTTTTGCAGGATGAGTTCCAGAAGGTGAGTTTCAAAATGCCCTTAAAAATGAGATCCAGTTTTGTTACCATGAAAAATACAACATGTCACAGCTTTGTTAATTGTCAAAATGAAAGTCCAATTTACATAAGGCATTTTACTTGCTAGTAAATGGTATGGAAATTTTAAGAGACATAAGGAAAATTTTGCAATTAAAAGCTCATTTAAAAAGTATAACATATAACATTTTTAATTTATCAGGTGGTTTTGGCCTACCATTGGTGGGCTTGAGGCTGAAAGACTGCTAATGGAAAGGGGGGTTGATTGCAGCTTTTTAGCCAGACCAAGTTCAACTAAAAACGGCGATTTCACCCTCTCAGTAAGGTATTATTTGCTATTAGTGATAATTTTGTGGCAAAAATGGTTTTTAATGTATTTTTATTATAGGCGAAATGGTCAAGTTACTCATATTAAAATACAGAACTCTGGAGACTTCTATGACTTGTATGGAGGTGAAAAATTTGCTACATTATCAGAATTAGTCCAGTACTACATGGAAAACCATGGGCAGTTAAAAGAAAAGAATGGAGAGATAATTGAACTGAAGTATCCTTTAAATTGCGAAGATCCTACTACAGAAAGGTAAGTTATGTTCTTTTGTTTGTAATAAAGAATACAGATCTGTTTCCAGAATTTAATTACGATCTTGTTATAATATTATTTGATAAAANCTGAGCAAATATAAATATTTAATTTATAAATTAGAAAAGCTGAAATAAATGATCCAACATTTGAAATTCGTCTAAGTGCATTTAATATATTAACGAAAGACTCATTAAATAGAAAAAATATGTAATATGTGTATTGACTGTTGGTGTTTTATAATTTTGAAAAATATAATTTTTTTTATCTTACTAATAATGTGATGAATATATGATTCCTAACTTTTTGTTGTAGTATGAATTATAACTTATTATTCATATTCAAGCTTGTATCAATTCAAATTAAAAGAAAACCATATGTAGTAATGTGAAAATATCCAAGTGTGATGTGGAGTTTGTTTCTTTTGAGTTAAATTATAGTTAACATTATCAACTCGTTCGTGTTAACGAATGTGATATTCATTGTCAGTATGTAATAATATAAGTACCAAAGTAACCCTTATAAGTAAATACAAAATGCCAATAGGCACTAATTAAAACGCAGAACGCAAATAACACAATCATTACTAACAACAAATAATGTACCTTACCAAAGTGAATATACGAATAAAGCAGTATCTTCGACTAATACGGCTGGGGAAGTACCAAATATGCGGGGATTTACAGAAATGCCGCAACAGCAACGTCGAAATATCGATTTTTAAGGTCAATGGACATTCGTGTTTATAACTGAAGGTTTAGTTTGTTCTCAGTTTACGGTGATCTAACATTTCTAATATAATGTTCATATTACACGGGGTATCCGTTATGCGATGTTCATATTATCGAGTGCTTGGTGTAGTAATATGAAAGTAATGTGATGATAAATATGTTTTGGTAATTCAATAAATATGTACGTAACTACTTAATGTCCGCTTACATTTAACAAACATATTGCTTAAAAATAAAAAAAAATAATTAAAACTACACTGATCCAGTACAGAGGACAAAAAGCTACGTGTACATATAATTTTTCTTTGTCGTACCTTTTTGTATTTCGGTGATATTCATGTAAAATAAATAATTTAAATACTGTTATTGAGTAATTCGAAAACAATGTGCTATTAATTGCCTTTTATTGCTCGTCTCACATAAGCTAGAGTAGTGCTGCGTGATATGAGGCAAGGCAGAAAACTTCCCTTGAATTAGTCACATCCTAATATGAGGATTCGTCGCACATATAAAGCAGAGGAAACCATTTCTGACGCATTCTTTCGCAATTACTTCCGTTGACTTTGAACATTTTCTATTTTGTTTTGGACGTTTTAATCTAACATTTCATAATTAGCCGTAGCCAAATTTTCATTCTTACGATTAGAACAGTCTGTAGAAACAGATATTTATATTAACAATAACCTGCTCAGGTTTCTAAAAAGATGTTTGAATTCTAAAGGAAACTAAATAAAAAAGAAAGTGGAAAATATTTATGAATTACCAATCAATGCTTTAGAAATAGTGGTGGCTAAATTTTTGGCTGAAAACATATTTTAATTTATAATTAATTATTATTATTATTTGAAATTCCTTCTTACTACAACATTTTGCTATTACTTTCTGACAATTTATAAAAATATATAGACTGCAATGTAAACATCATTGTAGCCTAGGGGTCGTCCAACCAAAGATTTCATTCAGAATTTCCCCTTTTTGGACCCCTTCCTCTACCTTCGTCACGCTGTCACACTAACAAATATTACATCAGAAAAGCTAGCCTCCCCCAATAAATGATTTTTTCTGATTAAAAATAGCGATGAGAATGACTTTCTGTCGTAATTTTTAAGAAAAGCTTAGATCAGTCCTAAGACTGGTTGGACACGTACCTCCACTCTTTCCTTTCCTGAGCTAAACTTCGCATTTCCCTAAAACTAGAACAACCCACATCCTTAACTATTTGCCAACAGTAATCTAACCTACGTCTACCTCTACCCCTCCTAACTCCTGTTTCTGCCTCTAATATGTCTCTGACTAGACCTTCATGCCTGAGAAGGTGTCCCACCAACCTATTTCGCCTTTTTTTTATTGACTTCCATAGAGTCCTCTGTTCTGCTATTCTTTCTAATACTTCTTAATTTCTAACCTTTTTTACCCACGTTATCCTCATCATTCGCCTATAACACCACATTTCGAAGGCTTCTAATCTTTTCTTTTCCGCCGCGCCCACTGTCCGTGTTTCGCACCCGTACAACGTTCCAAACATACACCTTTGACAGTGTTTTTCGAATTTCTAAATTAACCGTTCGCGAACATAGAAGTGACTTCTTTTTATTAAAGGCGACTCGACCCTGCGCTATCCTCTGCTTTATATCCCTACTACTCCTTCCATCCT